ATATATATATATCTGATATATATATTATTAACCAGCAAGTTTTTTCAGTTGTATTTAATATGAATTGGTCTGCCAAAAATAAAAAGTCAATAAACATAAAATAATAATAATATTTTGGGGTCTGTAAGATTTCTTTAATGTTTTTGAAAGAAGTCTCAAGGCTGCATTCATTTGATTAAAAAAAAACAAAAAAACAGCAATACTGTGAAATATTATAATTTAAAATAATTGTATTTTTATATATGTATTTATTCTTGTATGCATTATAAGTTTAAATTTTATTTTTGACATGGCAAAGCTGAATTTTCAGCAGTCAGTGTCACGTGATTATTCAGAAATCATTCTTACATCAATGTTGAAAACAGTTGTGCTGATTAATATTTTTGGGTAAACTGATCATTTTTTTCAGAATTTTTTGATGAAAAAATATTCAAAAGAACAGAATTTATTTGAAAAAATATTTTTTTGTAACTAAGTATTTAGTGCTGCAGTATTTAGTGCCATTAATTTCTTTTAAAAAAACCTTATTGACCCCAAACTTTTGAAAAGTAGTGTATAGTTTAATATATATTTAATATGAATAATATATAATATGATGTAATATATATATAATGTAAAACAATGTTGTGAATTTGTATCTTTAGTTGTCAAATAAACAATTAGTATGTAAACAGAATGTTGTCTCGTGAACCTAATGTATAACTCACAATATTGGTTCCCAGTCAAGTCTCAGTCGAGGTTCATTGAGGGAGTCAGTTATGAACTGCGTAATGATTTTGAATGATTCAAAACGCCAAGATGTATTTATTATTTTATTTTTTTTATTTTAGTCACAGTCTGATGCCCTGCAAAACATTTCCAAAGCTTTACATTCTAAGTTTGAGTCTTACCAAGAGGAGTGCTTGCTAGTGGAGTAGGAAGTTGAGATTCGGGATTGGTACTCAGGGTTCTTTCAAAATCTCCTATAGTAAACACATAAACAACAGTGGCAGATACTGTAGTCATGTAGGTTAGTACCATGCCAAAACTATGAACAAGAAGTCCTGTTTATAATAAAGCAATTAAACAAAACAGAATAGGCATTAATTAATGCATACCTGCTAGACAGGTGGGCAGTGGCGTCCCATCCTCACTCACCCATTCCCCACTCTGATGACAGGTGTAAGTGTCTGTAAATCCAGTCAGAGTCAAATCCACAGTGACATCTATTATTATAACTTGACTTTAATGCATCAGTGACTGACAGTGAAATACTCACTGTTGACCTGGCGAGAGTCTCTGCAGCTGTACTGGATTCTGGATCCAAACACAGTACTGTTTCCAGAGCTCTCAAAAACCACCTCACCCAGAACTACATCCACTGGACCACAGTCAACCACTAAAGGAGATCATGAGAAAGATGTTGAGTTAGAGAGCTATAGGATTTATTTTTGGATTGTTTGGATGACGATTTTGGTTTGATTCATATTTTGATTTCATTCTTTTCTTTAGGTCTTAGATGTTTTTTTTTCTTTTTAAAATTGAATAAAGAGATTCTTTAAAAATATTCAAAAGTATAGAAATTTAATTTTATATAAATGTAACAAAAAAGTACAGTTTTGACAGAATACAAGCATGGCACTATTTGTTTAATGAATTAGATGGGAGGATGTATTTGAAGAGGATGAGATGAAAACTGTATGATTCACAGGAATTCTCAAATGGGATTGGTGGAATTTACAGTAGTACATGCCATGCATATTATGATAGGATTGTTGATGGAAGGGATGAACCACTTGAACCATTTAAATAGTGAAGATCACAATCATACCAAACAGTAAGTGTCCACTCTTCAACATGTGTTGTCCGTTCCCAACAGGTGAGGCAGTTTTGTAGTCTATGTCCTGTCTGAAAGTCTAAGTGCATTTATGTATATGTATTTCTGTCTCAAAATGAACCAAATAGTGACAAGACTGTGCACTACTGACTAAGGGATATATAAATATATATTCAAAAAGTATCTGACAAAAGATCATGTTCACATCCATACATGTACATGCTCACTGGCTTGTTTTATCTCAGAGGCCCTATTTATGAAATAACATTAATAACCAGTAGATGGAGACATTCTATGATACATAAACTCAGTGTGGCCTTCACAACCACTTTCACTGGCAGAACAACAAAACTAGACTTGGGCATGGAGGATGCAAACTTAATATTGATCATGTTTAGCACAGACAGTTTGTATTAGCTGTAGTAACAAAATGCAATATAAAATCTTTCATCAAAAACTGACAGATCATTATTTTCCAATTGCTTTTAATGCTTGTGCTTATAAATAAAAATGCATCTTACATACTCATAGACAGCTGAATTGAGTGAAAGCGGAGTGTTATTTATTTAACTCTTTATTCATCAATTTATTCATTCTTTTTTTATTAAATGCCTTTTTTCGCAGTAGAACCAAACCTGGCTCAAACTACAATAAATTCTCAATAAGAACCGTAGTAATTTTAGGTTTGGTTCTATAAATTAAGGCTAGGCCTGAATGAACCTAAACAAAATGTATATTTAGTCCAGGACTAGGCTTAATTTGAGAAGAAAACTGGGAAGCAAAGTTAGTACAAATACAGAGATTTAAGATTTCATCTTTGCCATGAGATACTTAAAATACGGGCGAAGAATAATACCTGAATGCTTTGGAGTATTAAAAAGAAACACAAAGCTGTACTAGTTACAGTAAAATGACAAAACCATGAAGCCTGTGCATTAACTAGCACAATGCTAATCAATTTCAAGCATTAGCAGATCCGTGAATAAAAACAGCAAACTACCAAAAGTTTGGGCTCAGATAGATTTTTTAATGTTTTTGAAAGAAGTCTCTTATGCTCAATAAGGCTGCATTTATTTGATTAATAATACAGTAAAAACAGAAATATTGTTAAAGTTGTTAAAGCATCATTACTCCAGTCTTCAGTGTCACGTGATCCTTCAGATCAGTCATTCTAATATGCTGATTTGGAAACATTTCTTTTTATTATCAATGTTGAATACAGCTGTGCTGAATAATATGTCTAGAAACTGTGATATTTTTTTCAGGATTCTTTGATGAGTAGAAGTGTAAAAAACAGCATTTATTTGAAATATTTTTTAACAATATAAATGTCTTTACTGTCACATTTGATCAATTTAATGGAAAAAAAAATCTGACCACAAACGTTTTATCGATAGTGTATATTTCAATCATCCACAATGTACTATTTGGGTTGTAGTTCGTAGTGAAAGGTGACTGGCTACCAGCCAGTCCCTTTAGATTTTAACTCAGTATCTGATTGGTTAAAATGCTTGGTAGGGAACGATGCCTCCTTTGAGATTCCTTCTCTGGCGACAGCAAGGAGAAGTAGAATAAGAAAAGAGAAAGAAAGGGCAAGTGAGAAAAAAGACAGGAGGAAAACAGAATTAGTGTCTCTGTTAAAAGACTTACTTTTACACAGCGGGACGTCACTGCTCCATTTCCCATCCCTCTGACACTCAATCTGGTAGTGCTCAAATTCTTCATCACCCTGTAAGAGAGAATGTGAGTGTCAGTGTGTGATGTAAAACAGTACTGATTTGTTTCAGTTAGCTTGCATCAGTCACTGGCTTTATCAGCACAAGTGAATGGCAACCTTTCCCTGACCTGTCTCAGCGAGTATCCAGGGTCACAGGTCATTATAATGTGATCTTTGAAGACGTAATTAGACTGCAGAGGCTCCAGGTGTCCATTGAGGGGCGCCGCAAGAGGAGAGCATTCAGAACCTGAAGATAACAACATTTGCATCTCTGCCAATGCACCACATAGACAAAGTAATTAATATGATGTATTGATGTATGATGTAGCAGTAATATGCATCGGTCAGTCTCTGACCAGTGGAGGTGTAAGTGAGTTTCCAGCCGAGATTCTCTCCGGAGTTGTCACTGTGAAACAGGATGTTGACTGTGTTACTTCCTGTCTGGATCTTCCCTGGTGACTGCTCACCACAAAATGGGCCAAACTCCTTGTCTCCTGCATTAATCTGAGGATAAAGCATCATTATCATCACAAAATCTATCTTTTAAATGAAATCTATCAATATTTATCATTAGTGATGGGAGAAACTAAGCTTTTTGAAACTTTGAATGAATTGAAGCAATTGCTGCGCAAAATCATTTACATATTCAAAGCGCTCAAACCAACTTCAAATGTTTTATTAAAACTCTGTTAAATGCTATTTAATCTAATCTAATACCATTAAATATGAAGTGTCTGTATAATATGCATTATTGTATTGTGTTTGTTTTATGGAAAGCTTGGTTAATCGGGCCAATAAAAAAGACTAAACTGCAATTCTTCCTTTTTATAATACAATTGTGTCATTAAAAACCATATAGACAACAGTTCATGTGTTCACCATTGAAATTTCAAAACAGTTTTGACGTAATGAAGCCTCATTTACTGAAATCATGCCACTTTGGTGGTTTAATACACACTCCGAATCACTGGTTCGAAACGCAAAGGTTTCAAAGCTTCATGAACAGTGTTTTGAAAGCACTTATTAACTATTTAACATAATATTTAATTATTATGATTAGTGATGTACTGAAATTATTTTTTTATGAAACACTGAAACACTGAAAAGATTTGTTTTTATTTAGCCAAAAGCCGGCAACAAAAATGTATTTAATAATCTATTAATTGATCAAATTTATTTAATATTCAATAATCAAATAAAAACTGAGTTGTATATAAAAAAAATGTAAAAGCACATCAGCTTTTTATTATTAGTTATAAAAAAAATTGCTGTTATAAAAAACTAGTTTTCATGACAGATTTATTCAAACATACATTACATAATGAAGAAAACAGGTTAAGCTAAAATATAATGAATATGTAATATAGTGCATATTATATTTAGCAAAATGCTCCTCTGTAGAATTTTTTTCTAGCTAACTAGCAAGCTATGGACACTGAATGGTTTTCCTGAGGTAAAGGTAATGTTAAGTGACATATAATATTATGTTAATAATATAACAAAATATATTTAAATATATTAATTAATTTCAAGCAGTGATACTTCATTCTAATTAGTCAAATGCAATGTTCTGTCAATATTTCTGTATGATGATGATGATGATGGCTAAACTGTATATGCGTTTATTTCAAAAAACACTACAAAAAAATAATAATTCTTGATTGAAAAAAAATGATTCTCACTTTGATAAAGTCATAGGGGCAGGTGACTTCAGGGTGGTCTTCAATGTCAAAGGTGTCATCAAACTCCAGAGTGATTTGAAAACCCTCCTCCAGCTCAATGCGGTACATGCAGTCAGAGCTTTTGGGGTACGGTTTAGGGAAATCAGCACTGGTGATCTCTCCAGAGCGCTCTGTGTACACGCTTTCATTACACTCCACTGCAATGATTGCAAACACACACATATATAATTCACTATCATTCAGGTCAGCAACCAAAAGTGGCATGCACACACATGAAAAGCGATCATATAATGACTGAACAATAATTCTTTCTACTCTTTAACTCCTCAGCTAAAAATTTCTCAAACGTAAGAATTACATGTTTGCATTGAAATGCATGAAAGCTGCTATACTTGCTCCCGTTCTAATTGGGTGTTTGAAGTTCACAAGTTTATCCACATCTCACTGACCACCACAATGTAAATATTTAGTCGTTGGTGCTTAGCTACAATCAGCTGAGGAGGGGGCAAAGGCTAGACATAAAACAGACACACTCCAACACACACATTAACTACTACTACAACACATTACAGCAACATAAATCAAGATAAAATTGCAAAATTGTATGTGAACCAACATTATAGAAATGTGTATATTTGTAATTAGTTGACTTACACAATGTGGTCTCAAATCAACCTGCTGCAAGGTTTTTCCTAAAGTACTGCTTTATAATTAGGAATTCCAGAAACTAATCCTGGATAATCCAACGGTACAAGATTTATTACAAAAATCTATGCAATTTAGAGCAAATATTTGACAAGAGCCCACCTACACAGCTAGTTTTTAGTTTTATAATCAAATAAAACTGTGTTTTATACTGATGTTAAATCTAAGTATGAAGCTAGTGTGCACTTATAAGTGCGTTAGGTGACAGAGTCGTGCACATTCACACACACACACATACAAATGGAATGATCTCTTTAGTTTTGACATGAACTTAACTGACTAATCAACATTTTCAGGAGTATTAGGAGATTTAAAGGATTTTCCTCATCAAGCCACATATAAATAATGTTTAAACAATGCCACCTTTTGGCACCAAGAAGAAAAAAAATGGGTCAAACTTCTGTTTTAGTGAAAATAGTCTGAGGGCACCATTGGCATTGCCCTATTCTGTTTGTTACGGAGCAACAAGTGGGTCACTAGGTTGATGAGAATTACAACATGTATTGAACATGCAAGTTAGTTAAGGAGGAACATCCAACTGTAATGAAACACAAAAGAGGTTTTTCTGATCAAATATAGAAAATGCAGCAACTTTGCTATTTTGAAATGTTACCTTTGCAAGTTCTGTTGTCAGAATGAAGCAGGAACCCGTAACGACAAGAACAGTAGAAGCCGCTAATGTAGTTATGACAGAAATGATCACAGGCAAGATCTTCATCATTTCGGTCTCTGCATTCATCTACATCTACAGAAAGAATGGAATAAAGAGAAATAGGATGTTGGAAAAAGAAATGTTTTTGTTACTCCAAACACTCACCAACCGCACTAAAGTGAGCCTCAAAGCCAGAGTAGCGTTCCTCATTGGAAAAGTCTGAACGGAAGGCCACACTGAGCACATTCCTAGGGGACATGATGACATCGTCAGCGGGGACCTGTTCCGTGTCTGTATTCTCTTTTCCACAAAACACGGCCAGCTCTTCGGAGTCTGAGTATACCTGTGTGAACGAACACAAGAGATTTCTATTTCAAATGAAAGCTGTTCTTTTGACCTTTCTATGCATCAAAAAATTCTGAAAGAAATGTATCACCGTTTCCACAAAAATATAAAGCAGCACAACTGTTTTCAACATTGATGATAATAAGAAATGTTTCTTGAGCAGCAAATCGGCATATAAGAATGATTTCTAAAGGATCATGTGTCACTGAAGACTGGAGTGAGTATTAGGCCTGTCACGATAACACCTTTTTGTTGTGCGATATATTGCCCCAGAAATAATTGCGATAAGCGATATTATTGTCATTTTAAAGACCATTTTATGCCACTGAATATATAATTGTAATGTAATGGCATAATAATGCAAGAAGGCCTACATATTTCCAAATGACAACAAACTTTTTAAAGAATATTTAGATCATGGAAATTAAGTATCAAAATATTAGATACCTTAAAAAACCTGAATAAATAGTAAATAAACATTTTCAAACAAAAAGTGCAAAGTAACAAGTAGAAAAAAAGAAAAATGCACAAAGAACTTGTATGGAGATTTTTCCATTAACAGATTTGTCCCTGACCTTCTTTTCTCTGTAAATTGAGGGTGCACACTATTGCTGATGCTGAAAATTCAGCTTTGCATCACAGGAAAAAAATTACATTTGGAAATATATTAAAATAGAAAACAATGATTTTAAAATGTAATAATATTTCACAATATTAATGTTTTTACTACAATGTTAATTAAATTAAATTAATCTAGCCTAAGTGAGACTTCTTTCAAAAACATCTTACCAACATCAACTTTCGAAAGATACTGTATATATACTCGTACACAAGAATATAGGTACAAAGTCTTCAGTTTCTGTGCAACTATGCAATTTAAATGAATAGATCACCCACAAATGAAAATTCTCACATCATTTAATCACCTTCATGCTGTTTCAAACTGGTATGACTTTGTGTCTTTCATTATACACAAAAGGTGTACTGTATATTCTGTATATTGTACAGAATGTTCATGCTGCTTTTTACACAACATTTCCCCTTTTCTACTGAAGAAAGTAAATCAAACATGAGGGTGAGTAAATGACACAATCAGAGGACTGAAACTGTTCTCATTTTCTAAATATACCTGCATGAACATATAAAAAGCTACACATTTTAAACACTCCCAGCTTCTTGCTTTGGACGTACCCACACAAATTACCCAAAAGAATGCTGCCAAACCCTCAATTTAAGAAATATCTGCACAAACACAAAAACAGGCATCCACATGAACACAATTACACTCAGCAGACAGGCAAACTGTCAATCAAACCAGAGTCTTTTACACAAACACTGCAGACCAAGACCACAGCCAAGTCTTCATTGTGCTTCTACAAACACACACACATACACACAAACAGCCCTAAACGTGTCTCTTATCTGGCTCCCAGCTTGAGTGTTTACTTTATCCGTGTCAGTGAACGCAGGGTAACCTACGGTTACCAAAGATGTCCATAGGCAATTAATTCCTGAGCACAATACACAGACAAACATCCTCACAAACACACACAAAGAATTCGAGAGATACAGCAATTAAAATCAAATATGAGTGGGAGACAAGCTTATGCCAATGCAAGAATCCTAACTGCACAGCTATTTCACCAGACACGCCTCAAGAAAAATGGTTGCAAAAGCAGGTAGGTTAATAACACATATAAAAAGTACAAAAGAGTTCAAGTTCAGGACAAGCTGCATTTCATTGCAATGTCACACAGAATGCATGGAAACCCTATACATTAAATCCCTAAATGCATTTATATGGGTATGTGTGTAACGGTCATTATGTGTGAGTTTTTTCTGTGCCGTTTTTTGTCTACCACCCAGTTTTTGGTCCACTGCCGTGGCTTGTTACCATAGCAGGTTGCTGTGGCACCCACTGGGGGTATTTGAATATGAATATGCCCCCCTGTGGTGAGGGGGTAACACATTGGCTCCTGTGAAATAAATGCTGTTAACTCCATCCACCCAGGGTACCAGGGCATCTGCCACAGACCTGTCCGTCAAACCCTATTCTCACCCATTCTTACCCATTTAAACAATGAGATCCTGAGACTGGAAATAAGATGCTTATAATAAAAGGTCTGTGAGTGCGTCTAGACAGATTGAGCTGCTCTTTATCTGTCAGAAATGAAGATCTTTTGAAATCGACACCAAGACGGGTCATTTAAACTTTTGCAATATACCAACTGTTCAACTGACAAAATGTCTTTCTGAAAAAAAAAAAACGTTCAGTAGACAAAGACTCCATAAAGCAGTTTTGAAAGTTGTGATTCGTGAAAATTACATAATCAACAACCAATACGGTGTGTGCCATTGTACAGAGTGTAAGTCCATCCCTCACAGCCTCGCATTAAATTCAATATGGCGTCTAATTAAGGTCTATACCAGACAGCATTATACCACTTGCTTCTGCAAATCTAGTAAGGTTAATGTTCTTTTGTAACATTTATAAGTAGTACAAGTAGTACTACACAAGTAGTAGAGGTGCGTTTGTTAAAAAGGAGATTGAAAAATGTGTAAATATTGACTTACCTTCAAGTAGTCGTACTCACATAAGTATGATGGCTCAATGTCAAAATGCATAAAATAGAGTCGGATTTGATATCCATCTGGCACAGTTATATTCCACTGTAGATCTATCTCTTTCTGATAGGATTCAGGAAAGTTTGGAGACTTGACGGTCCCATACATGTCCGTGAGGTGGATGACTTGAGTCCACAAGGGCCATAGGCACTGGGCCAAGATCACAATGACACTGTGTCGAAAGGCATTTTATTTAAACCATAACATCAAATTCAACATTTTAAACATTAAGCATTAAGATTAAACAAAATGTGTCAAATATTCCATTAAGTGAGTTTAATTCAGTGGAATTAATTCCTGTAAGAATCTGCAAATAGGGCTTTAGGTGGAGGGGGGATAATTAGTGTTCAGCCAAGCCTTAGTAACCAAAGATATGTTAGATTACAAGTTATTCAGACTGCCTCAATATTCGCCAGCGAACATAAATAGCGTTCGCCCGAGGTGGTAACCATAGCAACAGTACTGTAAGTTGCAAACGCTTTCCGTTAGATTCCTAACTGTACAAAACATAGGTTAATCTCATTATTTATCACTTGATCATTTATCACATTTTATATACCAATTGTATTACAAGCGTTTTGATTGGTTGACGTTAAAACACGTTATGTTCAAGGATCGGCAAAAAACAAAATCACAATTTCAGCGGGAAAGTTACTGACAGAAATTCTCTTAAATGACGTCGACCCCCTAAAAGGAATAATTCCCACGCGGACTAAATACGTCATGGATAATAATTAATTCCGAGCTGTTTGTTGAAGATTATTAGAAGTGACTGATTTTAATTTCGCTACGTATTTTATATACCCTACTGACGAAAAAACGTTTAAGAAGTGAAATAAAGTTCTCACCGTGTAAGCTCCATGACTTCATTTATTTCTCTGTACGTTGGAAAAGGGCTGCATTCCCGTCTGAACTCTAGTTTTCCTCCACAAGTCACATTGCATGTTTACAATGAGTTCTCCCCCAATGATTCTTTGTCTCTGTGTGTGTGTGTGTGTGTGTGTCGGGACTCGGGGCGGAGTGGAAGTTTGTGTTTTCTCATGCAGCTAACTTGCTCAAAAGAGACGCCACATTTCAATATAAACAATAACAACAACACGTGGATGGTGTTTATTAACAATGCAAGTAGCAATTTGCATAAAGAGAAAGACATCATGGCAGGATAAATTATATCTATGCATTTGAACAAATAAAAAACAGCCAAACATTTTACTTGCAAAGGTGAAATTACCGTCTATAGTTTGTGATGTTTACAAAATATGGATATTATGAACAGAAAGATTTCTTGTTAAAATCGGTCATAGCAACAACAGCAGCATGTAGATTAATTAAAATGTTGTATGTGATGGATTTGGATGAAGTATATCTTCATTCATTTTCTATATCTTCATTCATTTTCTATATTTGTCATGCTTTGTGTCACTTTCTAACTAAGACCAGAGCTGGAGTATAGACTGGGCCTGTGGGGCCAGTATTGCCAGGGGCCTCCAAAGCCTCAAGCCATATTTTGACATACTTAGATGATATTATAATCATATTTCATATGATTTCAAGATATTTATGCTTGTCAGCCAAGATTACAGTAGGAATAACATCACACATATATCAACTATATACCACCTACCAGCTGTCTGTTAGCTCTCAAATCACATTAATAGACTTTAAGTAATTTTGTGTAATGTGTTCAATGGCCACTAGCTAACTCCTGTCCTTGTTTGAGGTCACCTCTGCGTATGTGTGTGTCTAATCCAGATTTCTAATGGGTTATCACTGTGGGTGATGGGAGCTGATTAATGTGTTTAAACCAGTTCTTTAATTCCAGAAAGATCCATATCCTGCTGTTTTCTCTCTCAGTATGAGATATAGCGAGAGAGAGGTAATTGGACTGTTAGAACAACAGTGTTATAGTCGACAGGTGGGTAATGAGCTGTGTTAGAAAGGCAATGAGAGTGTATGAGAGACACTGAAAACACAAAAGAGCAAAGGGTACAAAAAGCAAAATGATATTTGTAAATATGAACTTTGTAAAAGTAGATCACTTGGTTGTGTGTTGCCTAATCATTAATGGGTGAAGGTCCAGTCACAGGTCATGATAATTGAGTAACTAAGATCAAAATCCAGCATTACTAGCAAGGTACTTAACCCCAGGTGCTTTAGGAGGATAGAATAACTGCACTGTCACTCTGGATAAAGAATGTCTTCTAAATGGCAGCTGCCACTGTAAGATTGCCTTGGGTAATTGTAGTGGATGGGTGACAGCGTCAATAAAATTGAATGGAGTGCAATTAGCCTTTTGACCTCTAGAGGGAAGTGTTGACCACCTCTGCAAGCTCATGCTCGCTTTTTGCCAGATGACAAACTCCTTTCCGCTCCTTACTATGCTGACTGCTTGACTCATGAATTTTAATTAGTTTAGGAAAGTTATAATGTAACTCAGCATTGCAGGATTAATTTTCATGAGCGAACTACTAGTCACAGTGAGATTAGCCTACTTCTCATAAATGTTTATAAGAAAATTGTACGACGGTTAAAAAAATGAAAAAGGAAACATGCTCATGATCGCTTTTTGCCAGATGACAAACTCCTTTCCGCTCCTTACTATGCTGACTGCTTGACTCATGAATTTTAATTAGTTTAGGAAAGTTATAATGTAACTCAGCATTGCAGGATTAATTTTCATGAGCGAACTACTAGTCACAGTGAGATTAGCCTACTTCTCATAAATGTTTATAAGAAAATTGTACGACGGTTAAAAAAATGAAAAAGGAAACATGGCAAAGTAGGAAGAGAGAAAAAAAATTCAAAGTTTAAAGTGGGCCAATAATGCTAAAAAACAGCGCAAGGTAAGGACCTTAAAAAACTAAAACATGGCAGATCGTCCGGTACGTAAAAATCACAAGAAACTTGATTTGTCACGTAATTAGCCACCACTGTCTTTAAATAAGACATGAAACTAAATTCCAGACTCTAAGAGTCTTACTCTAAACGTAAGAGATAGCATTTTAAAGCGATTTCTGCTAAACTATAGCAGGTTCCCCTAAATATTGCCATTGTACAGGTAAACATGTAGCTCAGACATTTGTCATTAAGTCCTCTGATTGGCTAACACGCGTGAAAGAGCCTGTGACAGAGGCAAGTGTGATTTCAGGACACTTTTTAGTGATATTTTATGTGTGGTATTCTTTACATTGTCCTTAATTTATAATGATTTTGCAGAAGTAGTAATTGCCATGGTAATGTTTTCTAAGGGCAGAGTAGCATATTGGCAACAGGTTGAAGTTGTGCCTGAGTTCCTATAGGTTATGCACACAATGCAGCAGGTAACCTGGGTATTGTTCATGTACTGTTTCATGAATAATCTTACTTATTTACATACTGCTGTTTATTAGTGGGGAGGTATATGCACATTCAGGCACTGGGATTGAATATTTAATAATATTATATATAATATTATATAATAGCCTCCGATATTGAAAATCTACACACATAGAGCAATTACGTTTTTTCTTATTAGTTTATTTTAAATGTCCAACTCTGCACATATGCGCACCTCTCTTTCATTTTGTGTATAATATGTCTTTGTATTACTTTATCTCTTTCATGTCCGACCTGGGGCACTTTTTGAAAACTTTATTTCCAAACTCCATTGAAAGCTAATTACTCTTATTACAGTGATAAAGTTTAATTGCATTTAATGAGCTGTGTGTGTGCAGGTCTAGAGATCGTTAATCTATTTTACCACACATTAAACTGACCCTGTTTCCCTCAGAAGCTTAATACTTTAATCAATAACTATCCAAGATAAATGACTCCACAGCAGGCAAACACACACACGGTAAACAGTTCTGTTCAATATTCTTCTCATTTTGAGTCATGGCTGACTTTATGAAATGAATCACACATTAGTCACATATTTAGGCCTGTCAAACACTATCAGCCAGATGATCTTTTAGCACAATTTTGTGTATGTGTGTGTGTGTGTGTGTGTGTCAGTGGCTGTGAATGTACAGGTAAAGTGTTTTCTCGTCAACAGTCACAAGAACCTTTTTGTTGTGAAAGATGATGGTTTTGTTCTTGGCCATGATGAAAATGCTGGGTTTTTCAATATCTGGTTTTAGACATTCATTACCGCAGCTTCGGAGAATAAAGATGATAAAATGGATGATTAGCATACGGTAGCCTACTCAAACACACAAATACAAACATTCTGGAATCAAATATTGATAATGTATGGGACATGATATATAAATATGATATGAGTGGGCGATGTGATTTGTTTGTAAGTGCATGTGTGCATGCTTGTTAGACTTTGTATATGTGCATATGCACGCATTATGTTTGTGTATGTTTTGATTACATGTGTGTGTGTAGGAGGCTTCACGGTTAAAGAGGCGTTCTATCAGCAGGCTCCTGCAGCAGTGGCTGCATTGTCTGCTTGAATGCCTGAATTAAAGGACTTTGTCTCCTTTGTGAGGGTAATGGCCTCCTTCACACAGACAGCACAACAATGGAGACTGAACAGAGGAACCTCATCCCTCACCCTTCATCCCCTCCCACCTTTTACCTCTTCCATCATTTATCTTCCACACCTCTCTTTGTCTGCCTCTTTTTCACCCTTCAGGAGAACGTGACATCATCCAACACTTGTTTACGTGACTGTCTGTCATTTATTTGCTTAATTTACGTTTAAATTCTGGGTACAATTTTTATGGTATCCTAATTGGATTCAATATATTTGACCAAAAATTATACTATGAAAAAATTATGTAAAACAGCGAACCTTTAACATTAAAAAAATACATTATAAAAATCTTATACATTAAAAAAACATGAGACCATATGATTTTTAAAGCTGAATTTAACAACTATTTTTAAACTTTTTTCAAAAGCTGTACTTTTTATAAACAGCATTAGAACTATTTTTTTAACCTTTTTTTTTAAACATTTTAACATTGTGAACAGTAGAAGTGTGGAAAAGCACTTATTCTGTGTACTTTCCTCACGCACAAACAGTAGTGCTGACCATGCCAATACCATGGGCTTGATTCCAAGGGAAATTAACATACATGTACTGCATGAAGACCATCAATGTAGTGTAAACTTATCCAGATAAAAGCATAAATGCATTAATGTAAATAAAACACCCTTAGGATAATTGAGAAACTGACATATAATCAATTTTATTGTATTTTACATACATATATATTTGTTCTGCTGGCTTTAACCATGTAACATGCTGGTAGAACTGACCCACAAACATCATAATCATAATAGAAATTCCACAGCACATTAGAGTATTGAAAATTTGCATGCATGTTCATGATACTAAATATTTTTTTTTTATATTTCCAAAATAGGCTTATTGGGAAAAACGTGCAGTTTCCAGCTGAGATGAACACTATGTATCAACTAAAAGTTGGAAGTCAACAGATACTGTTTTCCCTCTTTATCATTTGTGTGTGGTTGGCTTATTAAAGTCTCAGTGCGCCCCAGTGGAGATGTTCACCTCTATTACCCTTTTCAGCCTCTTTGCTGGATCCCATAATTCTGTCTAGGTCAAGCACAGCAGCACCTCACATCATTGTCCAAGGCCTTGGGAAAAAAGGCATAGAGGAAGATAATGATGATAAGTATTAGTAGAAAGAATATCTGATGGTCTTATCCTTGTGCTCCTTCAGATAAAGTCGTGAGGCACGTCCTGCCTGATCTCTATCTGCTCCCATAATGCTTTTCACCAGCAGCCCCGACCCACTCATCACTGTAGCGATCAGAGACAATCATCTTCAGACAGATCCAGGATAAGCCCCTTGTTGGTCTGTGATTGGCTTTATATATTGAGATCAAGTAAGTGTGTGTGCTGAACAATGTGCATTTGATGTTATATTCAGTTCAGGTATTCCACAAAAGTGATACAGAATGCTAAAACAATAAGTTTTTATAGGTGGAAAAATATTTTGAGATTACATTAATTGTGAATTCA